TTTGACAGTACCTGAGCTACCACAGTGATCCTACACAGCACCAGCCTCGGCACGTGCTGTGCTGCTCTATCCCCAAACCAATGCACGTGTGATCCTAGCAGAGAAGCAGCATGATTACAAAGTGTTTTCCAGCAAGCCAGTGAACTGAATTAACTGAGAGTGGGTCTGACAAGAGCAAAGGCAGCCTAGGGGAAAGCTGGACTGCAGTGCCAAGTGTAGGATGTGGGATCAGGCTGGAGGAATGGCCACAAGCTGTCAGACCCACACTTTGWGCCCTGGCATGCCCCTGGTCTGCAAGGTCTGCACAGCTCCTATGCTACCTCAGTCGGCACCACACAATTCCAGTCCTGAACCCAGGTCAATGCAACAGCACAAACCAGCACAAAAGAACTGGGGTATCAGAGAGTACTCCAATYCCACTTCCTCACAGAAACCCCTCTTCTTTGCAGCTAGGAGGTGATACCACTCCTGTGCCTGGCTGGCCAGGACTACCTGTACTCTACCACTGTGCACTTGCTCATGCTCCCGGAGAATTTTAAGTTGTTGCTAGGCGGCACAAAGCAGTCTCTTATTTTTATCACATGCCTGTTTATTCTTGTAGAGAAAGATACAGCAAACAGAATCTAAGGCATCCTCAAAATGCTTGTTTTATTCTTTGCKTGTCTCCATTTTCTCACCAGACAGTCCAAAGCTTCTTGGCCATCAGCATACACACCTTTGCACGCAGACTCTTTCTCATTCCTCCAGAGGAAAAATGTGAAAGCATGAACAGAAACTCAAAATTCACATTACAAACAATTTATCAGTAACTCCAAATAAATTTAAAGTAATTTAGAAAAGGTTATTAATAGTMATTTCAAAGCTATTTCCTCACTCCTTAATACAGCTGAGCAGCTGATTTGTAGCAGCCAGCAGRCTAAACCATTCCCACTTCATCAGGAAACATCCCCCTGCGACTTAGCACTTATTTTTGCACCCCTGACATTTACCAATACAGCATTTTAAAGCTGCCATTCCCCTCCTCGGCATGTAATGTTAACACTTCCATTGACAGGGAATGCAGCCTGGGTCGGTGTAGACATGAGACGAGGCAAGATCAGTCGTAATGCCTGGTGAAGCYGAGAGCTAAAGCAGCCCTGCTGCTCCCAGACACGGGTCCCACAGCAGGAGCAATCATCATGGCCAGCCCCTGCCCCACCAGGAGCAGAGCAGGTCAGCTTTCCTGGCAGGCCAAGCATCACCCATAACTCAGCATCCTCCAGGACAACTACTCGCTCTGTGATCCTGGTGCTGCTGCACTACAGCTTGAAACCTTCATCCASAACTGGAACAACTCCACACTCCCATAACAAGATTCCATGTCCCATCACAATAACAGCAACATACGGGCTATTTATCCCATAGAAAAGAGCCTTATTATTTGCTAGACTTGGCATTTGTCCCTTCCTGACACTGAGTGAACCTCGTGTGCCTACGGATGTTTTCCAAATTGAATCTTTTACAGCTGCATATAAAGCTTTGAAAAGCCTATCTTCTGGAGTGTCTGACTCCAGAGGACACCCTAAGCTCCATTTTAACCTCCACAWTTTTCTGCTACTCATACATCACTTACGCATCAGCACCCAGCTGGAGACAAAAGACCAGCCTCACACTGATGGGCACCTTGCTGTTCAATAGGAAGCCTGGCACTCGAGCTGACAGCTTTGCTGCAGCAGTATTCACCTGGCATTAGATATTAGCACATTTCTTGCTCCACCAGTAACTGGAGGCAATTAACCCTCGTGCTGTCACTAAAACAGTGCTCTAGGTACATGTTTTTACTTGTCTGGCAGCAGCACCCACAGCCGCAGAGTTCATGACTTTGCTGGGCACTGTTGTGCCTGCTGGTGACATGGTCCCCCAAGAYCTCTTGAGGCTTGAAGAGCCAGGGCTAAGTCACATGTGAGGCCAGTGTTCCAACAAGCAATTCACTCTGTGTGTGGTCCACAAGCTGCCCCATTCAGCAGCACAGCCCAATCCTTCCCTTTCACTGCTTGATAGCCTCAACATTTATGCCCAGAATGGCACAAGCCTTGAAATTACTATTAATAACCCAAACAGGAGCTTAAAGGCAACTACAGAAGAATAAAATCAGCAGGAGTATCAGCTGAAGTTGGGCATTTCTAATTGCCTCAAATTAACTTCACATCATCTGCACCTTCTGGTGCTCTGGCTGGGCCCCARCTTGTTTCTTAGGGCCACTCTAAGAAGGATTTGTTGGTGGAGTTTTTTCCTCCCCTACAACKAACTAGCCTTTAACAGGAACACTGAGCCACAAGGATTTCAGTACAAAATTATGCGAAAAGACATCAGACAAGAATAAGCATTAAATAATAACTGTGAATTGTTTTTTCCTCTAGAGAAGTCAAGATACCAATATACCCTGTCTATGAAAGCCGAGCCAAAAAAAACCCCTGAAACTCAAGAGGAGCTCAGAAGAAAACKAATGCTCTTAATAGTGCACAGCAGGAACAGCAGTCCAAGACTCCTCCATGAGCATCTTCTCAGCAGGTTGCTGCAAGGGGTTGTGACCATTCTCCAACCTATTGCTCACCTGGAACCTGACTGCACTGCTAAGGAAGCCCAAGCTTACCTTTACAATGGTGACTCCTGTTGGCCACTCTCCCTGTCTGCTAACACTAATCATTAGCRGTGTTTTTCTCCTGTTGTGATTGGGGCAGCATTAATTGCCTCCCAAACCRCTGCCACTAATTGGTCTCAGTACCCTTATTAAACCAAAACTGGGTGACAAATTATTTGCACTCCACCTGGACAYTGAGCAAACAGTCTCAGGCACTCTCTCAGTAAGCAGATGCTTTCTGCCATGAATAAACAGACGTTTTTACTTCACGTCAGCTCTTCAGAGCCGGCAGGATGCAACAGCAGAAAGTCAGTCACAGACACAGAAGATGACTGCAACTGCAGAACAGCAAATTAGATCCTGCTGCTTCACACATCATCAACAAGTACAAGTGCTGGAAATATAATGGCCAAAACACAGATGAGCAGATGCAGGGAAGACTCTCTGCTTCCTGCAACAAGGTCCAAGGGCATTTGGGAAAGTTACAGCTGAACTAGAGGGAATGCTCACAAAGATACCAGCAATGCTGCTTTAGTATCAGGGCATTACTAACACATTAGGAGTCAGCCTGGGAGGCTGCAAGCTGTGGTGAGACTGTAGCAAAGCATAATGTTAGAAATGAATGTAAAGTCATAGAATAAATACTTTTCCTGTAAGATTTTGAAATGCATACTAGAAAGGTACCTGCAAGAAAAACTGGTGTGAGTGAGCAGCCTAGGAGAAGGCTCCTGCACCCACAGCAGCTAGAAGACGTCATGCCACACAAGCAAATGAAGCAAGAGACTGCAGAGAGGAAACTCATGAGCAGCAACCTGGAGCTATGCCACTGTGGGGCTTTAAAATCTAGCAGTTAATAAGGTCTTTGCTCTGTAACTAAATAGCTCCTGTAAATAGCTTAAGGGCTTATTGATACACAAGATGTCCCCTCCCTCCTTCAGGCCATCCTGCCAGGCTGCAGGAGAGCCCCAGCCTCATAAGATGGATGGACCAAGCGGCTGTCAGAGGGACCTGGTGTTGCCCTAACACACGTACACTCTCCCCTGTTAATGCTTGTCTCACTGGAGTGTTCTGCAAAGCCCACACCCACACTTACTTACAGCCTGAGTTACTGCTAATCAGAAATTCAATGGCATCTGAAGGAGGAGCAGCAGCAGCACACTGAAATAAAGGGGTTTGTCACCATTTTCAGACAGACTCCAACAGGCTCATTTGTAACATTCACACGTATTTCTGTGCAGTTGCCCATTCACTGATGCAAAGAGTCTTCAATATCCAGTTCCCACAGCTATCCCAAGGTCCAAAAGTATAAAAACTCCTGTGAATTACTTCTATATGAAACACCTATTTTAATTTCAGAAGCCATGTCCTCCCTCAGAAGCTCCACTAAGCAGCCCCTACACTGTACAAGCCACAGGCAACCTCTTTCCCATGACACCTGCACGGGTGTAGGGCCCATGCCCCAGCAGCCAAAAGGTGTTCTCCATCCTCTGACCCCAGTTAGGGCCACAGCAGGCACTCGGTCCTTCTGTAATTCCCAGTATCACCACCAACTTGGCCCTAAGTGCTACCATTACAAGCAGCTTCTGTGGCTTCTCCTGGCCACCAGGACAGCAGGGGTGGTGTGCTGTAGGTGTCATGACGTGTTGGTGGGAGGACGATGATCACCCCTCACTCGGATCTCAGTCTGAGGGTACCACACATATGGAGCCCCCAGGCTGAACGGCCAGCACAGAGGTGGTCACAAGAGTGCTGCTTACTCACACCAAYCACAGCTGCTGGCCCGGAGATTCCAGATTATCTGGAATCATGTACACTCCAGGGAGGAGAATCTCCCTCAGCACGTCCCAGGGATTTTCCCATCTTCCTCTGCCAGTTCTGCAGGAGTGAACAGCCCACCAGACCTTCAGCTCCTGGGCTCCTGACTTGGAGATGGCACCCTGGGGATCCATACCCAGTCCCCTTCCCGATGAGCCTKCTGASCTCTCACTTTRTCCCTRACCCGCAGGGCTGGTCCTCCCCAAWCCTAACACCACAGGAGATRTCTCCTGCCTCCCTGCAACCTCCGCATTCCCATCCCACAGCGTCCCAGACAGTTCCCGCATGCCGAASACACTGCAGGGGCAGTCACGGCCACAGAAACCGCACACTGGTTTCCCCAGCGAGGCCAGCGGCTCCCAGAGGGGACACGCAAGGGACCGCGAGCGGCTGGGCTGCTCAGAGCAGGGGGCAGCTGCTCCGAGCACCGGATCGTGCTCTGCCACCGGCCCGGCGCAAACCCAGACCGGGACCGCCGGGAATGCCCCGCTGCCTGCAGGGGCCAGGGCAGAGTCGCCCAGCCCCGGGACCCCCGGCAGAGCCGTCCCCGCCCGGCCCGGCCCACCTGCAGTCGCTGGAGGTAGGAGGCCGGCGCGTAACCCGTCTCGCCGGAGCCGGCGCGAGTGACGAGCCACCAGTGCTGGTTGCTGCGCTCCAGCAGCAGGAAGGTCTCTCCGGCAGTGAAGGGCAGCGAGTTGGGCTCGGCCGAGCGGAAGCTGTACAGGGCCCGGTACATGGCGGCGGCAGCAGCGGCACCGGCACCGGCACCGCCGGCACCTCCGCCCGCCCGGACCGGCCCGGCCCCGCCCCCGCCC